TAAAAAAAAAAAAAAAAAAAAAAAAAAAAAAGCCTACATCCCTCACATAAAGGTAAAATCAGATGTTTGTCTGTAAAAAAAAAATATAGATATATAAATTAATATAAAAAAGGCATTGCCTGAGTAGCATGGCCCAGGCACACCGAGTGTAAAGCCATTTTTAAAGAAGAGTATTTTGAATGCCGGGTATAGAAAGTGAGAGGTGGCACTGAATTCCTTACAAAAGTAAGTTCCTCTTGCACTTAGCTCACTTCATAAAGGAAATGCCTATTAGACATGGACAAAGGAACACAGGCAAATGCTAATTTTGTTGAAAATACACTTTCTGGGAAAATGCCACTACTTGTGAATTTGAGTCAAAAATCAGCAAATAAGACTTCAGCCAAATAGGAAAAAAAGGAAAAGGTTAAACTGTGTTATTTTGGTTTGTGAAACAAGGTTTTAAGTTTCTCATTTTGAACTCATTCTAACGATTAGGCTAAGGTCATCTTCCAATATGCTAACTAACATGCCAGAGAAACATTCCATTCCCCTTGACAACAATTATCTCAAGTCATTTTTCTGCCTCTGACCACTTCTACTGGATCTGTTCAGCTTACTTTGGCCACTGCACCAAGAGAAAAACCAACACTACCAGCAGCTCTAACACTGTGTCAGAAGAGTATCTCTCTGGAGAGCATGGAAGACAGACAGACGCTCTCACTAAAGAATGTCAGGGCAGATTTCTGTTCCAGAGCCCCAGCTTTCCAGGTGCCACCGGGGCAGAGCATGGCTGAGGGGCAGCAGTGGCACTTGGAGCCAGGCAGAAGGCCTTTGCAAACATGCAGCCACACAGCTGAGGTAGCATCCTGCCATGCACCACTCTGAGGGAGAAACCTGTGTGTGGAGAGTGAGACCATGGGTGCTCAAGGCGAGATACAGCCTCATGTACAATGGATATAGAGCTGACATTCCTCATCACCAGCCATACGGGTCTACATGGCTCTGAGCTGTAATAATGAATAAAATCAAGCTTTGGGATCTGAGACAGATCTGACTAAAGCTGGAAAAAGCCTGGATTAATCTCAATAGTATCATTTATTTGCAGTCTTTTGTACTCCTTTGACCGTATTTTATATTAAAACCAGAGCAAGAAGCCCTAAGATCACCTAACAGACAAAAGGAAGCAGGAGATGGAGCAGGGTCCTTAGTGCAGAATGATGAGCACTGCAACCAGGAGCCCTGACTGCCTGTATTGCTCCCCCACACATGGAGCTCTGCAGCAGTATGGGGGGAAGAGGATAAGCAGGACAAGCTGCCTGTTTCATGATCATGGACTTGCTATCAAATAGAAAGACTAAAAATGGAGATTGCTTGCTCACCACCACAAACAGTTTCTGACGTCATTCTCAATTTTGAGAAGTCTGTCCTAACCCCACATTATGCAACTGTTGAATATTCTAGGCTGGCAAAGTTTAATTTTCACACGCCTACATGCTATGTACCTGATTTTTATTTTTATTTTTAAATTTCAACAGCCTACAGCATTTATTTTTTTTTTAAGACTTAAATGGTCATAGTAACTATAAAAGGTCCCAGCTTCACGTGTCATTTAAAAGGATTAAAAGAGTGCAAAACGTCCAGTCTGAACAATAGGCAATAATGGTAACACAATGGATGAAATGAAAACTCCTAGGACAATGGCAGACAAAACCCATCTCCAGCATGTGGATTATAGAGCCATGTGCAAAAATAATTCAACGCGTGTTTCATCTATTACCCACATCTTCTAAAGGTCACTTTTGTAATAGAAACACGCCAAGAAAGAAAAAGTGCCTAAGAAATAATATGCAAACATTATAGTGTGGCTACTGAATCAGTCACTTCTGGAATGCACTCACCTGGTGCTCCACCAAACTTCCACCCAATAGAAGCAAATATAATATCCATAATCACAAGTTCTTTCCTGAATGAATTCAGATGCAGTGTAAACAGAATCTCAAACCAGGATACAGAGAAAGAAATTAAAGAAGCTGACGGCATTCCTAGGGATAAAAGCAAAGTGTGGGCTCCTCTCTAGTCCTTCTCACATCAGTCGGTGACACAGCGATGTCCTCGCTGCCATCCGGTGTGAGTCTCCATTTCTCAAAACGTATTTAGAGCTGCTGAATAAACAAAGACTACATTTTCTGCCTTAGAGATTGGGTTGGGGCTTTTCTTTTTTTGTCAGTCTAACTTGGTGACTAACTCCCACCCGCCTGTCCCCTGAGGGAGGAACACAGGAATCATAGGAAAGAAAGGGGTTTTGGCTTCATGCAGTCATTACCTGCAAATCTTCTAGGCAGGAAGCTGCTTCCTATGACCTCCTGATGCTTTTCTGATCACGCCCCCTGTGCCCCTGCTGTGATAGAGGTGCACAGAGATACACGTGAACTGCGTACAAAGCAGCAGTATGTCCCCTCCTAAAATTAATATCTGGTCCCAAGACTCAGTGTGCACTTTTCAGAGGCACACACAGTGACTGAACAGTAAGGGTTCAAAACTGAGATGATGGTTCAAAGAGAGATGCCATGCCAAGCAAGAGGAGCTGTCCTCACCTATAGGTAATGAGTGACTTGAAGTGTAAGAGCTGAAATTCATTTCTACACTGTTGTCTTGGCGCTGCCTTGGACCCAAGCAAGCACATGCAGCCTGAATTGAAGGTTATATGAAGTCCTCTAGATTTTACTCTCTGAATCAGGCCTGATCGATGTGGTCCCTAAAGATACTGGCAAGCACATCAAGTGATTCACTTGACTGCAGCTCATCACAGGCACATTTTACCAGGCTGATTTACACACTGCAGGAGCTCCATCTAATCTCTCTGCTTGGCCAAGGAACAAAAGGATACGTTGCTAGGGGTGCTGATAGTTTGGGAAAAAAAAAGACTTGTTTTCTGTTTCTATGGTTGCAACAGCCCTTAAGAAAGATATAAATTTCCCTGCAACAACTAACTGCATATTCATTTTAAGGTAGATCTAGTTCCAGATTCCTGAGACAGAACCCTCTACCTGTTCCCAACCCCACAAAGCCGGAGCAGCAGCATAGAAAGTTTCTAACCTCAAAAGAATTCAGCAAGCAGCACGATTGGTTTGGAAAACAAATAAACAAAAACCCAAAATAACCCACAGCAAATTTTCAGCCTCTATGTACAAAAACAATGCAAACACGTGGAACATTCTAGTTATATTTTGTAAAACACATGGATTGGGGTCAACAAAACATCAAACGTCCAGACCCTAGATTACAAAAATCTATTGCCATCTAGTTGTCAACTCCAAGTTTAGACAGTCCTTGTCGGAAATCGTGTAATTCATCTATCTTCCCATCTAGTACATCTAAAAAATTCTTTAATTCAGTTTTAAGGTTGGTCTGCCTATGTTTGCTCTCTTCAACTTCTGTCCTTAGTGTTCTGACTTTCTCTTCAAGATCTTTGTTCTTATTCTCAGCATCCTTGAAGACAAAAAGATAACAAGACAAATCATAGAGAAGAAAGATGAGCAGCACTTACGAGAGCAAAGCAACAAATGGCATCAGATTGGAAAAGTTGCTCCAACTTCAGCAAACTGATTAACACAGGCACCTCTGAAGAAACCAACACGTGTTGGACAGATTAAGAAAAGCCCACGCAGAAAAGGACACAGATTAACTGGAAAAGACACTTTGCATCAGATTTTGTCATTTGGTTGATATCTTAAAATTCAGCTGGATTTAAATCACACACCACACATCCATTTCTGTCACTGCCACAGTTGCAGAATTAGATTTCGTGCCAGCAATTACATACAGAATTATCCATGGTGGTTTAATCTTGAAAGACAAGCTTTAGAAAATACTGCCCAAGGAATGTTATTGCCTTATGCAGTACTTCAGGATTTATAGGTGGTTTTTTTTTTTTTTTTTTTTTTTTTTTTTTAAAGTTTGCCCCTGGCCCTGGGGAGCCCTCAGGCATGCTGTGGGGCAGCCAGCTAACACCTCCCATCCTGTGCTCTGCTCCTGCACAAGCTCTTCTGCTTGGTCTCCATTTCATTAACACAAGCACATGCTTACCCTCACTAAAAGCCATGGGCATCACTGAATCAAACCACGCTCAGCACCTGTCTCCCCTCGGTATACTTCTGTCTGATTTGACACTGATCATACTATTAGAGTGTTGGTGCCATTGGCTGGACTGATTTCATTGATGAGACTGCTTACATTTGTCCTTCTATGTATTAATTAGTGCACTTATGCACCCAAGGCACAGCCCCATGAGTCCCACAGGGTGCAAGCACCTCCAGCAGCACAGCCATGCACCCCAAGTCCCACGGAACCACAAAGCACCAGCACAGCCTCCATGAGTTTTGTCCCCAGTGGCACACAGCTCTGCCCATCTGTTACTTCCCAAAAAGCCTCTGCAGTGATCAGCCACAGGTCTTGGGGTGCTCTGAGCACAGCACAGACTGTGCTGGGGCAGCCCCACAGTGGGAATATAGGATGTGAAATAGTCTGGAACCAGCAGGAGATGGATGCAAAGTGAACCAGGGTATGCTAACTTGTGCAAGGGAAGAAACAGACCTATGAATCAGTCAGTGCTACAAAAGGCATGGTGCATTTTGCAACTAGCAAGTATTTTTTGGTTTTGCAAACTGGGGTTTTTTGCCTTTAAACCCTGAATTAGACATAGAACTGCATGGGTTATAAAATAAAATAAATTCATCAATTGCTTTATAATTAATTTCATTGCTAAACTGTACCTGTAATTGTTGAGATACAGATTCACATTCTGACATGAGCTGTGGTATAATTTCACCCTGCTTTCGAAGCTCTTCCAGTTCCTTTGAAAACACAAAAGAAAAGTCATTGCAAGCTTCAATTTAAAACAATGAAAATTTGAGAATAATTTTGCATATTTTATTATATTCTGCGTTGTATTTGGATTTAAATACCCAAAATAGCATGTCTGCATTCAAGAATATGCTAGAATACATTTTTCACTGCGTTTTTGACTTTGTACTTCTATAACAGATACTGTAATCCAATCTCTAGCATGGATGTCATTAATTATATTAATGAAATCTTAACCTAAATGACATATCTACTCAAAAGATATATTCAGTAAGAGAGAATCTGAAGTGCTGTAATGCTATGAGCAATTTATAGATGGTAGCAAAGAGCAAATTAGACATGAATTTACAATGATAGATGGCAGCAAAAAGGGCCAGTGGAATTATGAGCTGCATGAAGAGAGGCATCATTACAGAGCACAGTTGCGATGGGCTCCTTCCTACTGCACAGCCCTGGGCAACACCTCCCCAGGTTTGTGTTCTGTTCTACCACTGCTGTCAAAACTGAGAGGAGTAACTGAAAGGAGTTCATGAACAGAATAACGTGACTCAGTAGGAGACCATGTCTGGTGGAAATAAAGAGTGCTTAATGCATTAATTCCACAAATAAACACCACCATTGAGGTCAGTAGGGAAAGGCACTAAGAAAGCCAGTGCATCTTGCAGAACGATTGACAGCATCTCTGAAAAGCACATCTGCAGGTCCAAGAGAAGCTGTGCCTTGAAGAGAGTGCAGAAATGCTGCCCACACAGGTCATGATCTCAAGAACAAATATGAGTATATTCTGTTTCTCAGCATCGGTTTACATTCATGTAAGGCAGCACACCATTTAATAGTGCAGACTTTTCTGAACTGCACTGAATAATTTGTTTAACTGATACATGAATAACTATATCCAGGCAATATTCCAGCTATTGACATGGGGGAAAGGAAGAGTAATTTTATTTTGAGATATGAGCTCTCCTGCATATGTATATGTACATACATACACAATGCTTGAGAACTTGTATGTAAAAACATAAAAACATTATACTACTTATACACTATTATGCTGTTTACTTATTATATATACTACAATACAGTATGTATGTGCATAAATACATACTATATAGTATATGGCATCTGATGTCCAATATATGCCTATATAAATATTTCAATAGATAATTCTATCCTGACTCCCATGTCTTTAAATTTCTCTCCATTTTCTACATGAAGAGAGTATCAGCAGTTCTTCTTGGAGGGCAATGTCCACAATTGGGCTTCATGCTGGTTACTTCTGGGTGGCTTAGACCTAATCAAGGACCTACTACTGCAAGCACGCAGTTTGAAAACAAATTAACAAATTGGATGACAGGTGATATTCACAAGACAATTGAGTTTCTGGTTCATTTGGCATCACAAAAATGTGAAATCTGAGCAAAATGCTAGTAAATAAGGGTTCTTATATGTGCTATTACCACAGGAAGGCTGGGAAGAAAGCATGGCATTTTCCTTGGAAATACAGTGCTGAGAACCATATTATATTTATAACAGCGCATCAAAATCCATCTCCCTAAACTATTTCCTTGTGCCATCTTAAAGCCCCTTAAGAGCACTGCTTTTAAGAGTGCCAGCTGAGATGTTGTAATGGCACATGGCAAACTTTACTGCACCTGCTGACAGCTCTTTCTTTCTCAAACAGCACAGAGCATTTGGTCACTGTAATGAAGGAAGAGACAAGGATACCATTATTTTTCCCGCTGTTCAGGGGCCCCAAGCCATCAACATCATTCTCCTTAGAAAAATGACCACCCTGTATATAAAAAAATGACAAAATGGCCTACTCCAAATGAATTCAAGTTTCTCACTTTTGGCCTTAGTCCTGAGATCAGAGGGAGGCTGTAAAATGGGTAAGTTGAAGCATATGAGCCATCTGGGGGAAAAAAAAGAAAACAGGGCCTGCTACGCAAATGCCCAGTTGCTTTGTAAATGTCTTTTTAATGAAAAATCCTGCTGCTCCTGATGTCTGAGGAACACAGGATGCGGGCACTGACAACAAAAACTGTTTTCAGCAGACATCTGTCTGGCCTGGGGCAACTTGTTCCACCTCTCCAGCTCTTCTTGTGGGAGTAAAGCACTGCATACACAAACCACCAGAATAAAGTGTGCTGTCACAGCACATAATATGGTGAAACTGAGATCTGAGAAAATCTATCAAACTATTGCCAAAGAGTCCTACCCAGAAAATCTAGAAACAGGCAATACCCTGAGACAACAGGCTTTCCCTGGCTGTAGATAAGCCAGACCATAAATCTATGCCCAAAGTGAGAAGCAACTCCAGCTCCGGAATGTATGAATGTATGCCCTGTCTGTATTTATGGCACTTACCAGCTCTTTGTCTTGAAGCTCTGTTTCCAGCTCCTGGAGACGTCTGCTCAGCTGTGCGTTTCTTTCCTTCTCCTTATTTATTTCATTGCACTGCTCCTCCAGTTCTTCAATCTTTAAGAGATGCCAGAAAACAGATGTAATAGTCATGTTTCAGAAAATCTGGGGCAGACCACAGCCAGTGTGAGCAGGCATTGCTCCACTGAGCAGAGGGAAGCAAAGTCAAATTTAACATGTCATGGATCTGCTTCTCATCACAGCACTCAAGTACTACAAAATTGTTGCTTCTCGCCTTCAAAAGAATCCACAAACACATCCACAAGGGAGCACTGGGGTTGCACTTAGCTTCTTTCACACAGTACCTCACTTAATTACTCAAGGATGCACAAAACACTGAGCTGCTACAACAAGCGGGGCTGAGGAAACAATCTGCATGTCATTTCTGTGAAACTACTGTAAGGTTGTAATGGATAGGGTGTGTCAGTGTGGCAAGGAGAAGAAATCCATCCCACGCTCTCAGCATGGCCTCCTCTGGGGCTGCTTGTCACTGGGGCTGCCGCAGGAAGGAAGGGGCAGCCATCTCCTCACCTCAGGAGCCGCCCTTCCCGCAAGCCTTCCCCACAGGTTGGGGAGAGGTTTGGGAAAACCTCACTGTGTGGAAAATGACAGCACATGGTACTGATTGCATGGCTGCTCCAGCAGGCCTGCAGGGCAGTGACACTGCAGCTATAGCAAGGGGTGTTTAAATAACTGCTTCAGTTCTAGGCTGCAGCCACTGAGAAATGGTTAGGAGCCAGTTTGGTGCCGTAGCAGCAGCTCCCAGCCTCGCTGCCCACCTCCAGGCCTGGCTTTATTGCTGCATGGTTCCAGCTGGGCCTTGTGCGGGTGACCACGCTATAACCATTCCTGCTCAGCCACCCTCTGGCAGTGTTGAAGTGAGCTTTGAAAGGCATGCAACAGCTGTACTCCTACTTTTATCACTCTTTTGTTTATCATCCTGGCCAGCAGCCCCTCCGACACCACGCTGTCCAAGCCAAGAGGTCAGTGCTCCATACTATGCAGCAGTCCACATCCTCCTATGATCCCAGCTCTGTGAACTCCCCTGCTGCTGCCTCAGCCTCCAGACTTCTCTATCAATTACAACATCCGTCCCCTAGCACACACACACACAAACAAAGCAGCAGCAATGTAAGAAAAGAGCACAGATAACCCTCAAAGCTCCTTGGGGACCATTTCAATTAATGCTCTCACTACAGACACCTTCTATCCAGAACCCATAATTGTATCTGTGTCTTAAAAACTGCCAATTTGAACTTGCTGGTTGCCTCTCCCATTGTTCACTGTTTTTGGCCACCTGCGTCAAAGCTCACAAGGTGCCCTGGCATCCCTGGCTGCTGCTGGCGCAGGGCTACCTTGCTTCTGAGCTGGTCATTCTCCTCCTTGCAGGCTGAGAACTGCTTCTTCCAGTGCTCTATGCTGGCAGCCGACTCCTGCAGCGCTGTGGTCAGGCGGGCGTTGCTCTCCCTCAGTGTCTGCAGCTCTGTCTCCCACTTCTTTACATTGGAGGAACTGGGAAGGACCAGACACCGTTAGATGGGCTGACCATTTAACCCCACATCTTGTTACTCTCTGTCTGAACGATGTACCCTGCTGTCCTGTACCTGTGCATCACTACAGCTTGTCAACACTGCTAGGACCATTCAGGATGGACAATGTAGAGGAGTGGATACTACCCACACATGGTTTGTTTCATGCTCAGCCTTCAATATGCCTTACATAATGCTGAAGAATGAAGCTACTCACTTTCCAGAGCTTTGAACTAAACAACAGAGCGAATGGAGGCTCTGAAATCTCTTCCACAGCAGCTTCTGTGCCCGTGGAGGTGTCTTCAGCAGGAGGAATGAGCAACCAGTATGATTCAGAACAGGTTATGCTACTGAAATGATGATAATGTACTTCAAGTGTAAAATATGCAACCTTAAAGTTGCTCACTGTGTAATGCTGCTCCTGTCACTGCTGCCTTTATTTTAAAGAGCTTTTTATGAGCAGTTTGATCCTGATCTATTTTCTGTCCATTCACAAACATATTCACACACAAGAGGCAGACAAAGCAAGCAGGATTCTAGAAAAGAATTGCACAATTCTAATGCCACAGCTTTGCATATTCCAAGTTCAGTACTTTCACTGTGGCTGCAAATTACTCTTCTCAGCATTTCAAATAGTTTGTCGAAGCAAGTAGCAAAAAACGTGGCTTCGAGGGGCACTATTTGCAGCTTAAGAAACATCTCCCAAAGACTTCTACAAAATCCAGTGAAATTATAGTTTTCATTTCAACCGTTTATGCTGCAGTGCATTCCCTTTAAGAATTTTAAGTGCCTCTACCTATTTGCATTGAAGTAAATGCAGCAAAAACAAAGGGGAGGAACAGATTAACTTCATATGTTACCAGTAGCAATTGCTTCTCAGTGACCTAGGTATTATTTCTGTAGATCTAAAATTCTGCAAATGAAGGTGGTGTGGCCAGATGATCTCATCATGAACCAGATCAGGAAAAGGTAAATATCTTCCAATCAGATACCAGGAGGTGCCTGCTAAAATCTGCTCATTCCTTCCTTCTGCTGCACCATTTTAGATTATGTTATTACATCTGAATAATTTCTGCTAATACCATTAGCCATCAGATAATTACAGCACACCATCTCCATGCAATTAAGATATTAAACGAACCTCACCTTTGGGCTAGAGCAATTTTTAGTTTATCATTCTCAGATTTGAGCTGTGCCTCAGCAGAACCACCGTGGGATGCCTTCTCATCATCTGTCCCATTCACACTAGATGCTCGGGTGGAAGATGGTGTTTCACGCCCAGATTCCTGTGGCACAACACACAGATTAATGCAGGGTTTCTTTCTACATCCCACACCTCCTGCCAAGCAGCTTGATTGTGCCTCCCAAAAGTAACACAACTTGCATGCTGTGGCACACAAGAAGAACATAGAGGGCTTTCCTTCTTGTCAGCCAGAAAGGGGTCCTGTTCTGCTTGCACCCATATAAGTGCAAGGAGATACAAATGCACAGGACACATAACGTCATGAGCTGAATACTCACACTCTGTGAAAAGCTGCTTTCTTCATAAAAGAATGCAAGAATGATAAAGATGGACAAAATGAAAATTTGAAGTGTTCACAAATAATTTTTAATTGCTTTAACAGATGAGGCTTCTGAAGGGCCTTTGATTGCTTGTGATTTTTAAGGTATTGAAACAATACAGTGCTCCTGAAAGCACAGAAAGACCAACCCAAAAATATACAAAATTCTGCTGCTCCAAAGAGATGACCTGTACACACTGCTTGTTGCTGACCACAAATACAGAACAAGCAGAGAATCATAAAAGCCATGACCAAAGTCTTCAAAAACCACAAATATCCAAAGTCAGCCTCTCTGAGCTGTATCTGGACCTCTCCCAGGGGGTCAGCTGCAGGCCTGAGGCTTCAGCACCTTTCCTCTAGTCATCCAGCTCTATTTCCTGAACAATATGAATATAACCTTCCTCCAAATACCAGCACAGGCCAAGAACTGCCACCAAGCCAGCACTCATTCTTTGCTCATACACTACTGCCCAGCGCTCACTGGGCACAGAGGTACTAGGCTGCATGGAAGTGTGCTGCCTAAGAAGCACATTATACAAATTGCAACATGTGCTCTTCCATCCAGCCCCTCACTACAGCGATGCCTGTTTCTGCAATGCAGCTTTCAATGAATCGTATCCAGGCAATGAAAGACACAGTGGCTGTGAAGCAAGCCGTTGCATTGGCAAAACGAACTCCTACAGAAGTAGATTAGACAGATAACAAAAAGGAGTATCTTAATAAGTCTTACTTATTGTCTGCTACACAATTATGCTGATATACTTGCTAGTGACCCAACCTATGTGTAACAGTACAAATCAAAGGATGTATAGCTCTCCCAGCTATTAAAAAATTTGTAACAGCTCAGAACTGCTGAAAAAACTTGCAGGTAAATGAAGGCAAAGAGCATGGATGGATGAAAAATGTTCCTCTGACAGTGTTAATGCCCAGCAGCTGATAATTACCTTGGGCAATCTTCATTTGATATACTTCCCCCAGCCTGCTGCCAGAGGCTGGTAGTTCATTAGAAAATCTAGCTTTAAATTATTTATCCTGTATGCATATAGGTATTAATGTTAAATTACAAACCTGTGAATGATTACTTGAGGTCTCAATTTTCTCTTGAGATCTGTCTCTTGCTAGCTTGGCAGCCTCTTTCACTTCTTGGAATTTCTCTGCAAACTGGAAATAGCACAAAAGATGCTTATTAAAATTATTAACTATATATAAAATTATTTGGTTTATTATCTTTGTATGTCTCATAGATCTCCAGAAGTGACCAACTAAATTTGATAATTTATCATTTTTGGCAAGAAAAAACATTTCAATTCTTTGGCAGGAAGGTGCTTCCAAAGGCATGGCAATGCTGTTCCTAAAAGAAGGATTCTCTGCAGCTGACAGCAGAATCCCACAGAGCTGCTGGTGCCCCTTGGTAGGAAGTGGTTTTGTTTATTTCTTCTCCCTCGACATTCTTCATTCAACACTGACAGTTTATTAAAGTCAAAAGTATATATGATTCTATGATCTTATATACTAAGCCCAAAGTATGTAAGATTATGGAGTCATACAATCATATTTGGATAAAAAAAAATTATCAGTCTTCTACTCCTCAGAGCAAGTCAATTAAATTAAAGAATGCAAATGAGCTCGTCAGACATCTGCAGCACATGAGCAAGGAATTATCAAGACAGAAGAGAAAAAGATGATCTGGATGTGCTACAGGGACCTATGAAAATGTAGCTTTTTTGGTCTGATTTCCTAAATACTGGCAAAAATAAAGGTAGAAGACTTCAGGAAAAGGTTTGAGTGGTTTCTATAAATATCAAAGTGGGGAAGTCAGTGGAATGGAAAGATAAAGATGAAAAGCAACAGTCTCATTCCTACAAGTTGCTGGAGGACATCTGCTCCTAAGCCAGTCTGGCAGCTTAGAAATACAAGTATTATTGCAGCCAATCAGTGGTGCGGGGCTTTAAACAGCATGCAAAGTTTTAAAAGGATGATTGCAAAGATGGAAGAAAAGCGCATTTAAAAAAAAGTAACTAAGATGCTGGCAGTATGTGAGCAGGTAACTTTGTCTCTCTGCTGAAGTAACCTGTGATTTGGAAAACTTGAAACAATGGGAAGGAAAGACATTAAAAGTACATATAAACAGATCTATTTTACTGCACCGTGGCTAAAAATACTGCCATTACATCCTTGGAAAATTTAGAATACCTATGACAAAACTGTAAATAAAAGCCTTACAAAAATCAATTTTATAGTCAAGGAATGGGAAGGCTCACTTCCAACAAACACACACCACTCTTTAATCCCATGAAGGAACACTTCTTCAAAGCCAACTGAAAGTTTGCAAGCCACTTACAGACTGTAACAATGCTTATGAATAATGAATATGGAGCTCTTGAATCCTGCTATGTTCTATACAACAGCTGGAATTGCATATGTAAAGTATTGCTCTTTTACTTGATGGCATGTGCAGTCCTTACACACAAAATGACCTGATTACCTCTGTAGCTCTATGAAGACCATTAGCATCACCTACTCTACATTTTGTCCTTCCATTATTTGACTCCAACTTTACGTAGAATATCTCTGCAATGTCTCCCACTGTGACAAAACAGCTGCAGCAAAAGGATTATTTCTAAAATACTGTGTCAACATAAGTTCTGCACTTGGATTTCTTGCAAACAGTAAAGGGCTGTTCTGAGTCTCGCTTTTCCAATAAATCCTTATGGGCAAGTATGAAAAATTTATGAAGGTTCTTCATGGACTTTATGAAATATGAAAAAAGAATTAGAAGTGATCTATCAAATTTTATCTTCACAGCTATCTTCATAAAGCACACAGGAGACTGCTGTGAAAAATCATCTGAGCCAAGAAGAAAAGGATGTTTTTACACAGTGCCATAATGGAAATCATATGTGACTAAACAAAAGCATCCTTCAATACAAAACTGATGAAGACCTCTTCACACAGTGGATTTCAGCCTCCAGTTTACCAACACACACACCTAACGCTTTCAAAAACAAGTACCAGTAGGTGAGATTTTCACCAATCTCAGGCAGACCCACGGCTTTAAGAGTGGAAGTATTATCCTTACTTGTAAGCACGATTACATTGTGAAGAGGGCTGCAACAGAAACTGAAGTGAAAGACTTCCCTGCTATTTGTTTATCCCATACATTTGGTTGCAATCCATAGAGTTCTGGTGCTGCTCGTTTTTTATTCTTAGCTAATTAACAGCTGCTAGATTTTGCTCACAGTTTATTTTTGAAAGCTAAAGAGGATCCCCTTCACTTGCTATGAAATTAAAGCCTTTCACTTGATTATTCTGCTGAATGCAGAAACACAACAGCGATGGCCCTGACTGATCCTATGTTACCAATGCTGACTGCTGCCTCTCTCCAGCAGCTGACCAACTCTGTCTCAAACATAAAAAACTGACAAATAATTGAGATACTGAAAAAAAAATTGCATATCACCACCAAGATCTAAAGTGATTTTGAGCTATCAAACCACTGCAACAATAGAGAGCATTCCAAAACAGGGAAATTCTTAGCTTGTACTAAGTGAAAACGCAGTAAATGCAGTCTCAAGTGGCTATGTCTAATTCTCCAAAACCAACTTCTTACCATCTTTCCTCCCTTCACCTTCCCTCTCCTTCCTGATGTCACTGAGCAGACAAACTTCCCCACAGTTCACAAAAGAATAACAAGCAGGAGAAACACCAACTGCAGACCTCTCCAACAGGCTGCCATGGCTGCTGATGCACCCCAGTGCCCCGGCAGGCTGTGGGCCCGAGCTGCAGGATGCATTGGCTGCTCCCACCCCTGGGAAACTCGGCAGCCCATGGGCATTGCATCGCTGGGAGTCCTGATCAAAGAGGTTTAGTGGGGACTCAAAGATGCAGTTGTGCATTGCACAGATTATTTAGAGGCTGTTAAAAATCTGCAGCATGCGTGTCACCTGGAGAAATATGTAAATATGTAGAAATAGAGCTTCTTAACATTTTACACATTAAGAAGCATTATTTTGTGCATGTGAATTTTAAGCTCCTTATCTGGCACTATATTTCACGTCTCCTCCTATCAGACGTGGAGCAGCTGCTCCCAGCCACAGCAATCCCACATAGACCTCCTCACTCTCTGGGTTTGTGGAATGGTCTATGCAATGCTCCCACCTGGGACCACTGGGTGCCTGACCCACACTGCATGTGTGGCATTGCCACTGTGGCTTTTCCTCAGTGTCAAGCAGATTATCAGGGATGAGAGCTTTTGCTCATGAAAGTGGCCAGGGATCATACAGCACAACTAACACCCATGTGCATAAATGGAAAGCGAAGGTCTGGCGCTTCCCAGGCACTGGCTGCAGTTGGTTTTTAATGTGCAGAGTCTGGGCTTGCTGGACTTCTCACCTATATAAATCTCTGTCCCTATGCCCTTGGCTAGCTACTGCTCCTAAGATTATCATGTCTGTACCACAGCATCCTGAGTGATAGCAGAAACGTTACTTTACAGCTTGGTGTGCAAAACACATCACCAGTTTTACAGCATCAGCCCTGCCTCTCCATCACAAACAGACAGACCATTAATTCTGGTTTGATTCCTGTTTCAATTTTGGTGTAACAACATCTGAGACATTTCTGAGGCAAAGGACCCTAAGCAGGACATTACCATCCACATTGATTGGGAGAGTCCCAGTGTCTGTGGTTAATTAGGTTACTAGGTCACTGATGCAGTTTTCGTTAATGGCTCATGTTTAATTTGAACTGCTTGTCCCTATAGGTATGGATTAATGCTTAAGCATCTCAAGAGAAGAAAACCATTAGAAAGAGGCAATATCTTTTATTAGGCCAGACAACATGCTTAAAAAATGCAGGAGTTGATAGGTGTGCTAACCACTTCTCATAACTCATTATTATCCATTGTTTTCAGCAGACATCCTTCATTTTCATTTACTTATTTATTTTAAGCCAGGGCTACTGAACTCTGGTTCACAGGAGTTTTAGCACACCCTCCCAACTCCTGGCTAAAAGCTTCAGGTATTTTGGGGAAGCCCGGCACACTGTTATTTTTATCTTTTATAAGAGTGTAATGACATCAGCATAAAATGAAACAATTTTGCTATTCCCAATACACTTATACTTCTGTCATCTCTTCACCATCTTTGATCTTTCATACTAATGGCTTAACGATTAAATGGAAGAGCACGATCATAAGGGATATCTTGGTCCCATTGCTTTGCATGGCAGAAATAAACACCTCTTCTAACATTTTCAAGACAGACAACTGTCAGATTTTCAAACACAACATTTTAAGCCATTTTCAGAAGTGCCCCTTAAACCATCCCTTTTCAACATTCTGACCAGAAACAGCCTTCCTGCTGGTTTTGGAAGCTTCTCTTACAAGGAGAAGGCTGTAGCATGGACAATGGGCATTTCACAGATTAAAGACAGACTAAAGAGTCACTTAATGATACCAGCATTAAACTTATTCCAGGCATGTCTTTGGTCAATTCCAGAGAATATAGTAAAATCTCTCCGATTAGGCTGTTAAGGAACACCAAATGTGCTGATTGTAAAGATGCCCAAATGTTGCATTGTATCATGGCTTACACCTGCTACTCAAAACAAATGATTCCCCTTGATTAACCCTCCTACTACTTATTTAGCTGCTATAAATACCTCTTTGAGGTGAAACAAGCACTCATCTGCATCTGAACATCACAAAACCTCACTATCACCAACGTCACACTTTTAAAAAGCAGTTTTGCATGTGATTGATTGAGTGGCCTTAGCACCCCAGGACAGCATCCCATTATCGCCATGGCACCTTAACAGACATCCCAAATCCAAAAGTAACTTAATATGCAAGGTAAAATATGTTTTGTATTTAAGAAACACTTGCAAAAAACACATATCTGGAAACTGCAAAAACTCAGTTAAATAGTTTTAGAAAACTAAAACCTTGTAAAAATCCAAGTGATTGAAATGTCTCCCTCCAATTGCAATGACTTGCCTTAGCTATTTTAGACACTACAGGAAACTTCAGTTCTCAGGACTGCATTTAAATAATGCATGCAAGAGGACAGCAGCATGAGAGGCTGTGTACCATGTCCTAGGACACAGTGTTTAATTAACTGCTAAGCTTGATGCCAAGTAGCCATGCTTCAAGAGGCTACTACGTGCTAGATAAATCATGCTTTTCTGTTGCAGGAACAAACACCTCAGCCTCTTGATGAGCACTTGGCAAGACCACTGATCTAACAATAGGGAATTTATTTTAAACTGCTTGCTACTCATTAGCAGAGGCAGTCATGTGCTGCTGTAGCCGGCCCCTACCCAGGGCTGTGCTGCGCTGATACCAGGGTCAGGGCAGCTCCAGGAGGTGCAGCCTTGGTCCCATTTGGCTTCACAGCTCTGTGAGCATCTGGAATTGCAAATGTTTTTAACCATCCTGGGCAAAACATCAAAATCCCCACACTAGAGCCATCATCAGCGATCCAATTTAGTTCATAGTTTAGACCACAGATGCAGCCTGCTTCTGTATACAGGGATACCAGCAAGTTATAGGAATTGACCAATGCACGTGGATGAAAAGGATCTGCAGACTGGAAGAGGCTGGATGGGTACACGCAATTCTTCACTCTCAGCAAACAAGACTGCTGGGGAGCCCCGTTACCTTGGACAGCTGCTGCTCAGAGGGAAAGCCCAACCCAAACACGGTGTTGGCTCTGCTGTCTGCCCACTGGCCGAATTTCTGCGAGGTTTTGGTGAAGGTCATGTTGGGGGTGATTGTGCTGTTTATGATCACCTGTTTAGAAACAGATCAAAAAAGAATTACGAGCAGCCACATCAGAAATTTATATCCTAGCAACCATATAAGTCAAAGCAATTAGCAGTTTGAACAGAGAAGCTGCAGTACTCCCAGTTTTTCCCAAAACACATATTTCACGTTGTCTTACTTGATGCAGGAATTGCGATGTTTTGTCATCTTTTATTTCCAAAGTACCATCATAGTCCTGCAGTTTAACACCACAGAACTCAAAGCAGGGATGGGGGGGGGGGGGGCTATAAAATGTCCCTAGTAGAAATGGGGAGTTGATCTCACTTTTTCAGCATGGAAGCACATGAATTATAGTTTAACAGTAAGCTTAACCAGGGAGGGTGGTAAATGACATCACAAACAATGCACATCCAGCTTCAAACATAAATGTCTTCAGGACAAATATTCCACCACTTTCACACTGACTGATACCTGATTCAGCAGCCTCGAGAGCAGCAGTGGTTCCTGTGCTCAAAGAAATGGCTAACAAGAGGAAGGCTGCAGGCATGCAGAACTTGGTAGGAAAAGCATAAAGTGTAACCATACCAAAAGGAATGAGATATACATGCCAGTTCATTATCAAAAATCTCAACTTTATTTTCAAGATACATCATTATATGAGCCTAGAGACTCCTTCCCTTGAAAATGAATTCATGAGCAACTGTCTTCCTGCTAGCAGAACAGGAGCTTTCTTTAGTAACGCGTACCATCATTTCCAATATGCAAATTATGCAGTAATTAAGCCAAATCCGTGGGACAGCTTAATTAACATGATCAGGAAGTATCCTGGCAACATCATTTGCTAGGTATTCCAAGCAGATTTTTCCTAAGCTATCATTTACATTTAGCAAAAAAGCGTAAATTAAATTCACCAGAGAAAGAAAATTCCTTGCCTCCATCCCCTCCCTAACTTCTACCCTCTGTGCGGATGCTTCTATTTTCCTTCTTAGAAATTGCACACCTTTGGTGGCTCCCCATACTGTGCCATCACTTCCCAACAAGTGTACAATTCCCTGCTGTGTGCAAAGGACCAACGTCAGCACACAACCAGTCGATCCAGACCAAGCTCAAAAGCAATATGAAATCATTGCTGCTGGAAGCTTCTCACCAAAAGGATGAAAGCAGGGCAGGGCCAGGTGGCTGACGCTAGTAAATTCTGTTTTACTTTTTTAATAGGAAGAACCAGGATGAGATGGGGGAAGAGGTGATTCTTCTTCAGCAGCGTTGGCTGACATAAGCTGCGTAGAAATGAACTTTTGAAGATGAGACATGGTTTTGTATGGCTGTCTCACAGAGGCATAAGGAAAGCTGCCCAGATGTGCTGTGCTCCAGCTGAGTCATGCAGCAGAAAGGTGGCCGATATAAAAACCTAAGTTCAATTCCAGTAATTTAAATTAAAAGAAAACCAAAACTCCAAAGATCTTATGCATGGATTTGACAATTCAAAGGGAGGGTGACAATAGGAGGACTGGATAGAATGAGTCATAAGAAAGGGGGTGAAATCTACGGCCAAATGAGAAATCAGGATGTTTTCCATAAACATTAAAGGAAGTGCTTAACGTATATCCTACGTCAGACAGGTGAACTACTTACACATATTTGTCTTACTGAGTTATTTTAGAAGCTCTGAAACAACCATAAATTTCAAGGGATAAAAAAGTATTATTTCAGCCCTACTGTGCCTATCAAATCAGACATCTTTGGCTGAAAAGCTAATAAAATGACCCCTCTCATTGAAAGGCGAGAACCTCCTTCACAGGAAGCTGACAATGAGAGTAATAAAAACTCCTAAAATAAACATCTAGAAAATACAAACACAAAAAACACGCTGAAGGGAACTTTTAGACAACAGTCCAACATCAAAGAAGTGATAAGAGGAATAATGAAGACTGCAAACTAGAACACAAAGCAACTTATTGAGCAATGAGATGAAGTATATTAGCTTAGCACCTTAGAGGTTAATTTTTTCTGTAGCCAGAACCCAAGGGAAGGTTGTGGTGATCACACACCTTCAAGAAACTGTCAGTTCATCTGCTAAATTTATAAAAAGCTGCAATTAGTGAATCTGCTTGCAAGCCAGCTCTAGCTTTTTTTTTTTTTTTTTTTTTTTAAAGCCCTCCTCTGTCAGTCTGATGCCCCAGACACCAGAGACAAGTGAAAACCTGAGAAAAAGCTGAGAGAGCAACTCAGAGCTGCATGGAAACAGTCAGGAGAAGGAGAACACAACACAGCGCTGTGAGGTACCCGTGATCAACACTGATTTTATGAAGAATCCAAAACACGGTGCCATACAGGCCTCTACAAAGAAAATCAACTCAATCCCAGCCAAACCCACAGCGCTGTGGGAAGGCTTCCCATAGGACCGCAGTCCTGTAAGAAGAGTCCACTCAGCATTCAAACAGACTCTTATGAAGCAGCTTTGCATAGGCCCTCATTCCTATAACACATATGATGGAATTCTGACAGCATCAAAACCCCAAATAAACACAGGGACTGTCATCCAGGTTAATGGCTTCATAGACAAACAGCTCTAATGAGCTGCCATCAGTCCCTGAAGTGGTTAACGAGTTCTCCCCGCAGACAAAGGCAAAGAGGAGCATAATGTAATAAGCACCTTACAGAATAATAAACTCATTCATCATGCTGGTGGAGTTGTCTACATGTGGTTAAAAAAAATTTGCCTTTTCTCTCATCTAGATGCCAGCACATCAGATGGCAAACATTCCTGCTACGTCCACACAAGCCAAACAAAATCTCAAGCTAATTTCACTTCCCTTGGGAGAAAAACAATCCTGACAGATCTAAATTTTTATTTAAAGATGACAATGAATAATTTTTACAGTTCAAGGTAGTACTCTGTCAACCAGAAATGATTCGAGACGTTTAGGAACACACACACTGGGCACATTCATCAGATAAAAGTAAGTAAATAAGCTTGTGAAGGGCAGAGCTCTCGTAGGCTGAAACATACCCACCCCACTGCCTTCCCACAGAGAGAAGTTGCCAAATAAAACAAGCAGAGAGGTCACAAGATAACCTGGGTAGAAAAAAAACCTGCATTGGCAGCTCAAATTGCTCATGATATATGCGTGGTGTATGTACACACAGCTACCTTCTATCATGGGGGATGCTTAGTGCATTTCAAGGGTCCTTCCCAAACTCCCCATTATCACCAAATCACACTGATGTGTTTCCTGAAAGGCATTTTCTCAAGTCAAGGTGAGGCAAACACGTGCACAGGAGCCCATGCAGAACAGTGCTGGAGCAGCCAGGGGCTACCAGCAGCTTGGGACATCCTTGGCATTGTGCTACGTTTCCAGAAGCAGCAGCATAGATGGGAGCAGGCTCATCCCCAGAAGGAGAGAGCCAATGGCTGTGAGCATCTGGCAGAGAGAAACCAACATGCTGCCCTGAGCAGCACCAGGACATTTCCTTGGCTGGGACACACACCCACAGAGCCAGCTCTGGCAAACACCTCTCTACCTGGGAACAGACCGAAGTAAGAGCTGTGGGATTGCTAGACTAGCCAATTTGAAGTTCTAGAACTGCATTAAATCAAATCAGAAATGGGACAGAAATAATCTCACCCTTTATTCTGGGACCAAAGTCCCAGTTCAGCAGATTGGGAAATTCCAGAATCATTCCTCTTTAAATTCACATCACCTGCTGTTCTGAAGCAACTTCACCTCCAGAAAAGCCCTAAGGCTCAAGGGCATAGTATCTTCTCATTAAGAAGTCACTACATTAAAACCTCCCCATTTCATTTTCACACCTCTCAATATGTGCTTTCCAGTTTGCAGCCCTTGTGAAATTTAATTTCCTCAACCCACCAGGCTGCTAATCTTCAGTGAAGACGTATCTCAATCTAAAAACAGAATTGATGAGGGCAGGGAGCTGCCAGTCCTCGGGCTGCAGCTATCACAGGCTCAGCAGGTTCTTCCAGCTCATCAAGCCAATGTGAATCAGAAGCACTCGTGAACCCGGACGTGAAGACCAAGGGAGAGGGATGGGTTTGCAGAGAAATTCTCCCTCACATGTTCAGCAACTTCCTCGTGGAATTTATCCACCTACACTGCCATGATTTGCACTTATCTTCACTAGCTCCCATTCTTTGCTGGTGGCTAGACAGAAACGCAATGTCTTTTCACCAATAAATCACTGGTTTAAGGAAGCAGAAACTGTATATTACATGAAATGACATGATGAGGAAGGTGCTAACCTCAGTGTGGGGCTTAGAGCTCTTCACCTCCTTCTGAAGAAAACAGAAAAGCTCCTGTAACCCAGAGCCTAAAGTACCATATTCACGCTGAATTGCAGAAACAAACCACTCACCTGTGACCCCAAAACATCAGATCATCTCTGCTCCAGCTTACAAAGACAGCACACACCCTCACACCCATGCCATTAGCCATGACAGGGCTAGCAAAAGGTACAAAGGGAGTCACCTCCTGAGCCCACTTTCCAAATGGGATGAAGACACACTCGCAACAAGAAACTGGGATGACAAAAAGAACAGGCCTTGATCAAAAAAATAAACTTGTAATGAAGGAGAACTAATTACAGCTGTCTAACAAACCAGGGCCAGTAGAAATCGTTCTCCTCACCATTTCTACTAAGACTTTGTAGAAGGGTCTTTCAGAAAGAAAGAAAAAAAAAGGAAAACTATAAGCAGCAACTACACATGTTTGAACTTTGCCTTATCTGCTGTACCTCCTACACAGAGATGTGTGGGACATACATCTGGGGCAGACCTGGGACTTCACCTGAGCAGACTAGGAGCACCAGAAACATACTGAAAAGAACACTGAATGTCTCGTTCTGCTTTTCTTCCTGCTCTGCTCCATCACTTGTGTGCAAGAGAGAGGGGGTGCAGCAATGGACGGGACAGCTGCCAGGTCAGCCAGGCAAGCAGGACTTTAGCTGTGCCACCCAGACATAGATTTCAGAAACATCCACAACACACAGTGCTAAGAAAGCAAGTGCAGAAG